TGCTTGATCACTTAACCTGAAATACATGAATTGGGATTGCTGTAATATGCTTAATCTGGTTGATCATTAGTGCTTCAGTTGTTGTGCTGCTTCTCCACTTATTGATTTTGTCTCTGTTTTGCAAATAAAATGCTCTTTAATAACGTTAATGAATCTTATTTGAGGGTAATAATTACCATTGCACATAGTGAATAACTTGTTCCTCAATTTCTTGCTTGACTGAAGATTGTAACCACTTACACTGGAGGACATCGGAGTTGTAGATCCGAGAGTTCTATGTATGAGACAGTGGACCGAGATAGAGGTAGAATTAAGTCCAGGGATGAGTCTAGAAGTCAAAGAAGGGATGACTCTGGAAGTGAAAGGAGGGAGGCAAAATGGAGCCACTACTCGGATAGAGAAGAGCCGAGCCATAGGGGTGTATCACATAGTCATGATAAGGAATACGATGAAAAGTATGGACAAAAACGAAACAGATACGAAGGTTCCAGGACTCCAGGTATGTAGTGCACTTTGTCATTTAAAACTTTCTGATCTTTCCTTGTAAATTATAATCAGAATCTTATTATAGAAATCTCCATGGGACAGTCTCTTCCGTAGCATGGTCCAAAATCAAGAGAAACAGTAGTCGTTGAAGTTTCTGCCCTCCAATTTTATTATTAACTCTTCCAAAGTTTTGAAAACTTTTTTGCTTATGGCTAGACAACCTTCGGTTTCCCAGATTTATTTCTTATTTCTTAGTGAAGCTATGGACTATGTGAAAGGATGTTTTCTCATTTAGTGAAAAAAAAATATTTTATTCGCTTAGTGTTTATAACTAATTTATTAACAGTGATTTTGTAAAGTCTAATAATATTTACATTGCGGATTTTGCAGGCAGATCTGACTGGGATGATGGGAGATGGGAATGGGAAGATACACCTCGTCGGGATAATCGTTCTTATAGCATCAGGCACCATCAACCTTCACCTTCCCCAATGTTAGTTGGGGAGTCACCCGATGGACGACTGGTTTCCTCATGGTTGGGAGGGCATACTCCTCATTCTGCTGGTAAGTCAGTGAAACTGTGTAATCTCTTAGCTGCTTGTTTTTGGATTGAAGATGTCTATCATTTGTTTCCTTATGCTAATGGGGGCTGCATGAAATTAACAAGATACTGGAATATCTACAGAACCTGCTGCATCTCCCTGGGACAGCGTTCCTCCTTCTCCAGCATCCATAGGGGCATCGGGATCTTCAGTTAGATCTTCAAGTTCTTGATATGGTGGAAAGTCGCATCCACTTAATTTTTCTGCAGAAAATTCCCAACCGTCTGAGGTATTATATTTCTCATCTTATCCGAGCTTTCCTTTCCTTAAAGATATCCTGAAAAAGGAAGAAACGTACTTGGCCAGATATCATTTTTGTGTTCATCTGCAATGCATTTTATTTATCAGCTACGGGAACGTGTTTGAAAAAAATTGCTCTGTCCTTTTGGTTGTATCCAGGATGGAGAAGATAGCACAAGTTATCTGTCTAAAGGCCACAATCAAGAGATAGCTGAAAGTATGCGTTTGAAGATGGAATACAATTCTGATCGTGCATGGTTCTATAACTTATTACACATGACAAGCTATCCACTCCTAAGAAACTACACTAACATTCTAGCTCAAATCATCAGATGTTTCATGAAGTATCAAGTGGTGGGTAATGGCGTAACGCTATGGTTCTGAACTCCTCTTTCCTGTTTCTTTCCTATGGGCTCCTTGTGCTTTTGATTTTTAACCAATCTGAAGAAGCGGACCAAGATTATCACATGGAAACATAATTAGAATGGAAGCATAAAAGAGTAGTTATGCATCATGTTTTATGCTAAATGGTTTCAGCTCTGGCATTCATGTCAAGTAGATGTTTTGATAAGCTTAGCATGCTATCTATTCAACTGAAAGTTGGAAGCGAAGTTGCGGCCTTTTTAATATTTGACTTTGTTGTTTTCATTTCTGCAGCCTTTCTTATCTTTTTTTCTTTTTAGCTTGAAATAGAATGCACCAAATATTTTTCTCTATCATTTAAAGCTTCTAATGATCTTGTCTTGTATAAACTATTGATGCAGCAGTCACAAAGAGAGAGGAAGAAGCAGAAAGAAGAGCCTGAGAGTTGGGACAACATATATTAAAAGTTATTGTAATCATTCATATGTGTTTTAAAAACCTTGAGTTTGACGATGTGTTGTCTGATAACTCCTCCTGTGTTGTCCATTACGAATCTTTTACTTTCTGTTTATTACATTCACAAAATGGACATAGTCCTTGACTGAAATGAATGCCAAAACTCATGCTCACCTTCACTTGTGTATGTTGGCAATTTGGTTAGGAAAAATTAGTATACAATATTTCATCCTTAAAATGATCCATATGTAACGCATGTGATCAACTAGTTTGCCTAAAAGAAAATCTTGTCGGTTCTTAAATTGAAAGACGAAAGCTATTTACCAATCAAAAAGGAAAAAAATAACAATAATACTATTTGAACATAATTTACTAACATAATTTATCGTCTTAATTCATCATGATTATTAGATTGATATTAAATTCTAACAAATACTAGGCAGTTGTCAATCTCATTATTATGAATGTTTAGGATAATAAATTAAGTCAACAAATTAGGTCCAAGTAACATTTCTCAAAAATTAAAGACTTAGGGTCAGACCATGAGGTATTTATCTCTTATGAATACTCTAGTCCTGGCGTGAATATCTTGTTTTTGATCGGATTAGGGAGAGAGTTAATCGAGATGTGCTCAAGCTAGTTTAGACACCGCCAACGGTTAAATCCAAAAAAAAATAAATTAAAACTTGATAAAACAAGGAAATCAGTAGCAAAAAACGAGAATTCAAGTTCAAAAACTCGGGAAAAATGCCTAGAAGATACAAAAATAGAGAATAAAAACTTAGCCAAGTTTGAAAATCAAACCTTTGAACAAGTTGGTTCCGTAGTCGTGGAATCGAAAACAGATTTTGATAACTTTGTTTTTGTTTTGATTTCTCTTTATTTCACAGTTGGGTAGATAAATAAGAAGTTTTTGTTCCATAGATATATATGAGACGATTGTCCAAGTTGAATCTGGTAAGGATTAACCTTAATTCCCTAATTTGACCTTCCAATCCTATTCCACACCACACCCACAAGTATAGTAGGTTGATAATTCCAAAACATGTTTCTAATTATGCTTACGTGTAGAATCCTGAATGGGAAAGGAGTATCTCATTTAAACTCAAAAAGTTTCAACCCAAATGCCATATCATCCCTTGGGAAAGGAGTATTACATTAATTTGTTCAGTGGGGTTCACTCATCCCACATTAATTTGAGGGATGACATGTATTTGAATTTTAACTTTTTGATTTTATTTGAATTATGTAACATTTTTCAAACAAGAAATATGTAGATTTGTCTATCCAACACTTTTGGCCCTATTAACCTTTGAGGTAGTTTGGTTTATATATACATATATCTTTTTCATTTGCCCCTTGGCAAAGTCATGACTTCTCAAATAAAATGCATATGGATTTTTTGTAAAAATGTATCTGTTAGAAGTATAAATATTTAAATTACATCATTTTTAATAGTTTAAGTTTTTAGAGTACATCGTTGTTTAACATAATAGTAAAGCAGAAAATCATGTGTTCAAATCTTGCTGACACCCAAATTATTAAAATAAAATTTATTATGATTATGACATATTGAATTTTGTTTGAACGAAATTACGAGTAAGGCTGATAGTTGAATGATCTTGAACGAGTTTGAGCTGAGTCTGAAAAACTTGTTTTCTTAAATGAATCTAAAAAATTGTTTAAATTTGTCTCATTCAAAGAACGAGCCGATCTTGAATGAGCCCAAAATGAGTCAAACCTAGGTAAGCCTGAATATTTATACACAAACGAGTCGAGTTTGTCGGGTTTGAGGCGAATCTACAAAATTATTCAAATTTGATTCATTTAAAACACGAGTCGAATTTGAACGAATCAAAAACAAACTAAACCCGAATCAAACTCAAATTGCTTAGTTTGATTAAGAGCACTAAATGCGAGCTTCTCATGCTCTTCAATCATGTTACTCCATTACACCTCACTTCTAACCATTAAGATGAGTGGATTTGATGAGTGAAAAAATCTAGTTAAAAAAATGAACCACTGGTTTAACTATTACCAATAACTAGTATAAATTATTAAGCACCAAATCACCTTTCTCGCGGTATCCATCATGAAAATGAATTTTTAGAATATTTCTTACGTCTTCTTTGATTTTTTCAAGAAAAAACAAAATGAATAGAAAATCCAAAAAAATAAAATCTTAGATACAAAAAATATATCTAAGATTATTAAATTGATATTAAAAAAAAAATTATCGACTTAATTCATCAAAATTATTAAATTGATAGCAAATTGTAACAAATACTAGGCAGTTGTCAATCTAATTATTATGAATGTTTAGGATGCCAAATTAAGTCAACGAATTAGGTCAAAGTAATATTTCTCAAAAAGTAAAGACCTAGGGTCAGATCATGAGGTATTTATCTCTCATGAATACCCTTGTCTTGGCGTTAATGACCTATTTTTGATTGAATTAGGAAGAGAATTAATCTAGATGCGCGTAAGTTGATTTAGACACCGCATACTGTTAAACCAAAAAATAAAAAAAACTTGATAAAACATGGGCATCAATAGCACAAAACCATAGATATATATGAGACGATTGTCCAACTTGAATTGGTAAGGATTAACCATAATTCCCTAATTTGACTTTTCAAACCTATTCCACACCTGACACCACAAGTATAGTAGGTTGATTTTTTCAAAACCCTTTTTAATTATGCTTACATGTATAATCCTGAGAGGGAAAGGAGTATCTCACTTAAAAGTCAATTGTACCCCTCCATATGGTGTGATTCTATAAAATGGTTGGGGTTAGTAGTTTTTAACAAAAAAGAAATAATTAAATTAACACTCTCTCCTCCTCCAAAGATGGATGCCGGCCGGCGAGTTGAAGTTGCAACCGATAAGGTACCACCAATTTTTTTAATTGTGTGAATTCTTAGGAAAATTAAAAACCAGTGGATTCCAACACTCACATAGAGATCATATACAATATATATATACACACACACATGTATGTATTCTTTTTTTAGGGTTTTAATTGAAACAAAGTCGGGAGAGATTTGATATAGTAACATGAGTTTTGGCTTTTAATTAAAACAAATTAAAGGTCGTTGCAGTGGCAAGTTTACTTCTTTCCAACTCTCATATTAATTTTATATTAGAATGGCTTGCCTACTATGCCTTTTCTTATGTTTTGCTTTGCAAAGACTAACTTGTTTTTCAAAATAACAATTTGTCTGCAGAGCCATATCAAGGCAATAGCAATCGTCTGTGCGACTATGGAAAAGAATACTGAAGTATTGTCTTTCAAAGATCAGGAAAAGGAGAAGGAGCAAGAGAGACCTTGGTGTGATCTCCCTCTTGACCTTCTAAGTTTAATAATATCTAATCTCTTTGCTGGAGATTGTAGTGCCTTCAATATGGTCTGTNCAGGATTTCTATTTACATCGTTTTTATAAATAGAATCAATTTTATCTTAAGAATCACCAATACGGGCACGAGAATGCGAAAAAATTAAAAAATATACGACATGGGTACAATGAGAATATAACCATTAAAATAATATAATATAATTTTTAAATAATAATAGAGTTGTAATATATTAAAAATAAAGTATATATTATAACAANATCCTGTGTTCGAATCTTACTGGCACCCAAATTATTAAAAAAAAAATTATTATGATTATGACATATTGAATTTTTGAACGAAATTACGAGTAAGACTGATAGTTGAATGATCTTGAATGAATTTGAGCTGAGTCTGAAAAACTTGTTTTCTTAAATGAATTTAAAAAATTGTTTAAATTTGTCTCATTTAAAGAACGAGCCGATCTTGAACGAGCCCAAAATGAGCCAAACCTAGGTAAGCTTGAGTATTTATACATAAACGAGTCGAGTTTGTCGGATTTGAGGCGAATCTATAAAATTATTCAAATTTGATTCATTTAAAACACGAGTCGAGTTTGAACGAATCAAAAATAAACTAAACCGGAATCAAACTCAAATTGCTTAGTTTGATTAAGAGCATTAAATGCGAGCTTCTCATGCTCTTCAATCATGTTACTCCATTACACCTCACTTCTAACCATTAAGATGAGTGGATTTGATGAGTGAAAAAATCTAGTTAAAAAAATGAACCACTGGTTTAACTATTACCAATAACTAGTATAAATTATTAAGCACCAAATCACCTTTCTCGCGGTATCCATCATGAAAATGAATTTTTAGAATATTTCTTACGTCTTCTTTGATTTTTTCAAGAAAAAACAAAATGAATAGAAAATCCAAAAAAATAAAATCTTAGATACAAAAAATATATCTATAAATATGTTATAACTGATTTTTTTTTTTGCTATTGTATTTTGTAACTGATTAAATTAGGAAGAAAAAAGACAAATACTCCTTAAAAAAAACAAAATGAAACTAAAAAATAAAAAAAAGACACACCACTTTAAAAAAGTTAAAAAAAAATACATAAAAAATAATTATCATACACTGCATTATGCTCCATGTACCAATTTCTATTTTACCAAACTCTACAAAATACTTATCGGCAACTAAGTATCTGTATATGTCAAAACTTTTCGAACATTGTTCAATATATATGAAGACATATTCCACTAATAGAATTTGAATCCGATTCAATTCTGATTATCTCAAATGTTGATATATCAAAATACGAATATGTGAAGTATAGTTCCATATATTCAACTTAAAATAATTGGTGATAATTCAGGTCAAAATTTCATTCATTTGCAAGCCTACTAGCGTACACTATAAAGTGCACCCAAGTTGAAACATAAAGCTTTTCGCATGGAAGACTCGGGTGGCGAAATGCCAAAAATTTATGAGCTTGGAATTACATTGGTAAAGGTAAACCCATTTGAGATTGTAGCAAATCCTTCAATCACAAAAGAAATTGTTGAATCTGAAAAACCTTCGAAAGGCAGATTGTATTATGTCTGCGAGACTAAAGGTTGTTGCTTTTTGGGCTTAGTGTATTCCGACCACTGCAACATGGATGCCTAGTGTAGTTGCTGCTTTTCCTCCAAATGAGTAGCTGTTTGATAGACAAATTTTTGAAGGTGCTGAGCGTTAAACTGTCTTAAGCACAAGGTTGATGATGCTTGAAGATACAATGAAGATGAAGGTGAAGGCAGGGCTATTTGTCTCTACGTTTTTTATGTTTATCAACCTGTTGGTGTTGGCTATCAAATGAGTTATATTGGCAATGTATGTATGCTATCTATGTAATCAATGAAGTCCAGATTTCATTAACTTGAAAGACAAAATAGCAAGTTATTTGCGGTGCCCTCCTTCCCCTTTTATCTCTCTCATCGTCTTTAGATCCTTCCATATCGCTGCATTTACAAAAACGTCTGCCATNGGAAAGGAGTATCTCACTTAAAAGTCAATTGTACCCCTCCATATGGTGTGATTCTATAAAATGGTTGGGGTTAGTAGTTTTTAACAAAAAAGAAATAATTAAATTAACACTCTCTCCTCCTCCAAAGATGGATGCCGGCCGGCGAGTTGAAGTTGCAACCGATAAGGTACCACCAATTTTTTTAATTGTGTGAATTCTTAGGAAAATTAAAAACCAGTGGATTCCAACACTCACATAGAGATCATATACAATATATATATACACACACACATGTATGTATTCTTTTTTTAGGGTTTTAATTGAAACAAAGTCGGGAGAGATTTGATATAGTAACATGAGTTTTGGCTTTTAATTAAAACAAATTAAAGGTCGTTGCAGTGGCAAGTTTACTTCTTTCCAACTCTCATATTAATTTTATATTAGAATGGCTTGCCTACTATGCCTTTTCTTATGTTTTGCTTTGCAAAGACTAACTTGTTTTTCAAAATAACAATTTGTCTGCAGAGCCATATCAAGGCAATAGCAATCGTCTGTGCGACTATGGAAAAGAATACTGAAGTATTGTCTTTCAAAGATCAGGAAAAGGAGAAGGAGCAAGAGAGACCTTGGTGTGATCTCCCTCTTGACCTTCTAAGTTTAATAATATCTAATCTCTTTGCTGGAGATTGTAGTGCCTTCAATATGGTCTGTAAATCATGGCGACCAATTACTCCTGCCATTAGACCACTCCCACCTCCTATTGGTTCCCCGCATTGCCAGTCTCCATGTCTTTTGTTCTTCCAAAGAAGTAGCCACAAATGCAAATTGTTTCATCCTCTGTATAATGACTTCTATCATATGGAGCTCCCAGAGATATTAGATGCAAAAATGCGCTTCTCAAAGTACGGTTGGTTGTTGATGTCCAGAGAAGACCTAAGTGTGTTTTTCTTCAATCTCTCCACGAAAGTGACGATAGAACTTCCCAAGATGCCATCTCCTTTTGGATTTGCTACAATGTGTTTTACCTCTCCACCAACTTCCTTGGATTGTGCAGTTGTTGGGTTTAATGGCATTGGCATCATTGAGATTAGCATTATTAGACGTGGAGAAGACAGTTGGACTACCCACGAATTTAGTAAAACTCGGGAGGAATTCTACTTCTCTGATTGTAATCCTGTATTTCACAAAAGAATGTTCTATTGTTTGGGTGTGAATGGGAATGTGGGGATATTTGATCCCAGGGACGATGCACGCCGCCGCTGGACTATTCCTGTTAAGTGCCTTACACATTGTGGACCCGATTTGCCCGACAAGCTCGGTTTGCCTAAGCAGAGCTTCTTGGTGAAAATAGGGGGAGTGATTTCAGCCGTGTTTGTTGCTCATGAAGAGAGACAGGTTTGTGTTTATAGGTTAGATCAATGTCGGATGATTTGGCGAACAGTATATACGTTGGGTGATAAAATGTTATATGTTAGTCGCTGTGCGTCTTTTTCTGAAACGGCTATTGTGAAAGGAACGGCTAACAAGATCTACTTTCCGAAATTCCATGGCATGAATGGTGTTTTTTACTCTCTCACTACCAAGAAGTTCCACTCCTTAGATGGTGATTTTTCTAGCCCAATGTCCTATGGACTGAAACATATACAGTTTAGCACTTGGTTTAAACCTAGTTTTGAGACAAAGTGCAATGAAAAATTAGAATGGTGATGGAGTGGATTTTCGATCTCCAAGGGCAAGCATCTGGTATGAAACTTTAGCTTGATGAATGGATGGATTTATTATATATGTTCAAACCCCATTAAAAGTTTTTGAATCCATTTTTTGGTTTTATCCCTGGTTTTTTTTAAATTCCAATTGTCGACCTCTTCTTATCTTTTTATTCTTTATGGTGATCATAAAAAGAGTAATGGATGCTTTACATGTTTTGTTATATCTATCTACTCGCATAACCCAGGAAGCATCTTCAGAGGAACGTAAAATTCAAGTTTGCATGAATGTGTAATATTTACTTTGTGATGGAAACAAAAAAATCAAACTTCATTACATGCAGAGATTAAAATATTCGGGATTTCTATTTACATCGTTTTTATAAATAGAATCAATTTTATCTTAAGAATCACGAATACGATCACAAAAATACGAAAAAATTAAAAAATATACGATATGGGTACAATGAGAATATAACCATTAAAATAATATAATATAATTTTTAAATAATAAATAGAGTTGTAATATATTAAAAATAAAGTATATATTATAACAATATGAATAATAAGATCTAATAAATATTATTTTTTTGATAAAAATTAAAATATATCAAATTACATATNTGAATAATAAGATCTAGTAAATATTATTTTTTTGATAAAAATTAAAATATATCAAATTACATATTCACTATTTTCATCGAACATTATTGAATCTATTAACATTCATAGTATATAAGTTACATAATAAAAAATATGTCAAAAGAAACAAAGTCACACTTCTTTTAATAGTTAAAAATTGTTTTTTTTTTATTAAAAAAAATTATGTCCTTGTCGTGATCATATTCTAGATATATCTTGGCCGTGTCCTAGTCATGTCTTGATCATGCTCTTATTGTGNATAAACTAAACCGGAATCAAACTCAAATTGCTTAGTTTGATTAAGAGCATTAAATGCGAGCTTCTCATGCTCTTCAATCATGTTACTCCATTACACCTCACTTCTAACCATTAAGATGAGTGGATTTGATGAGTGAAAAAATCTAGTTAAAAAAATGAACCACTGGTTTAACTATTACCAATAACTAGTATAAATTATTAAGCACCAAATCACCTTTCTCGCGGTATCCATCATGAAAATGAATTTTTAGAATATTTCTTACGTCTTCTTTGATTTTTTCAAGAAAAAACAAAATGAATAGAAAATCCAAAAAAATAAAATCTTAGATACAAAAAATATATCTAAGATTATTAAATTGATATTAAAAAAAAAATTATCGACTTAATTCATCAAAATTATTAAATTGATAGCAAATTGTAACAAATACTAGGCAGTTGTCAATCTAATTATTATGAATGTTTAGGATGCCAAATTAAGTCAACAAATTAGGTCAAAGTAATATTTCTCAAAAAGTAAAGACCTAGGGTCAGATCATGAGGTATTTATCTCTCATGAATACCCTTGTCTTGGCGTTAATGACCTATTTTTGATTGAATTAGGAAGAGAATTAATCTAGATGCGCGTAAGTTGATTTAGACACCGCATACTGTTAAACCAAAAAATAAAAAAAACTTGATAAAACATGGGCATCAATAGCACAAAACCATAGATATATATGAGACGATTGTCCAACTTGAATTGGTAAGGATTAACCATAATTCCCTAATTTGACTTTTCAAACCTATTCCACACCTGACACCACAAGTATAGTAGGTTGATTTTTTCAAAACCCTTTTTAATTATGCTTACATGTATAATCCTGAGAGGGAAAGGAGTATCTCACTTAAAAGTCAATTGTACCCCTCCATATGGTGTGATTCTATAAAATGGTTGGGGTTAGTAGTTTTTAACAAAAAAGAAATAATTAAATTAACACTCTCTCCTCCTCCAAAGATGGATGCCGGCCGGCGAGTTGAAGTTGCAACCGATAAGGTACCACCAATTTTTTTAATTGTGTGAATTCTTAGGAAAATTAAAAACCAGTGGATTCCAACACTCACATAGAGATCATATACAATATATATATACACACACACATGTATGTATTCTTTTTTTAGGGTTTTAATTGAAACAAAGTCGGGAGAGATTTGATATAGTAACATGAGTTTTGGCTTTTAATTAAAACAAATTAAAGGTCGTTGCAGTGGCAAGTTTACTTCTTTCCAACTCTCATATTAATTTTATATTAGAATGGCTTGCCTACTATGCCTTTTCTTATGTTTTGCTTTGCAAAGACTAACTTGTTTTTCAAAATAACAATTTGTCTGCAGAGCCATATCAAGGCAATAGCAATCGTCTGTGCGACTATGGAAAAGAATACTGAAGTATTGTCTTTCAAAGATCAGGAAAAGGAGAAGGAGCAAGAGAGACCTTGGTGTGATCTCCCTCTTGACCTTCTAAGTTTAATAATATCTAATCTCTTTGCTGGAGATTGTAGTGCCTTCAATATGGTCTGTAAATCATGGCGACCAATTACTCCTGCCATTAGACCACTCCCACCTCCTATTGGTTCCCCGCATTGCCAGTCTCCATGTCTTTTGTTCTTCCAAAGAAGTAGCCACAAATGCAAATTGTTTCATCCTCTGTATAATGACTTCTATCATATGGAGCTCCCAGAGATATTAGATGCAAAAATGCGCTTCTCAAAGTACGGTTGGTTGTTGATGTCCAGAGAAGACCTAAGTGTGTTTTTCTTCAATCTCTCCACGAAAGTGACGATAGAACTTCCCAAGATGCCATCTCCTTTTGGATTTGCTACAATGTGTTTTACCTCTCCACCAACTTCCTTGGATTGTGCAGTTGTTGGGTTTAATGGCATTGGCATCATTGAGATTAGCATTATTAGACGTGGAGAAGACAGTTGGACTACCCACGAATTTAGTAAAACTCGGGAGGAATTCTACTTCTCTGATTGTAATCCTGTATTTCACAAAAGAATGTTCTATTGTTTGGGTGTGAATGGGAATGTGGGGATATTTGATCCCAGGGACGATGCACGCCGCCGCTGGACTATTCCTGTTAAGTGCCTTACACATTGTGGACCCGATTTGCCCGACAAGCTCGGTTTGCCTAAGCAGAGCTTCTTGGTGAAAATAGGGGGAGTGATTTCAGCCGTGTTTGTTGCTCATGAAGAGAGACAGGTTTGTGTTTATAGGTTAGATCAATGTCGGATGATTTGGCGAACAGTATATACGTTGGGTGATAAAATGTTATATGTTAGTCGCTGTGCGTCTTTTTCTGAAACGGCTATTGTGAAAGGAACGGCTAACAAGATCTACTTTCCGAAATTCCATGGCATGAATGGTGTTTTTTACTCTCTCACTACCAAGAAGTTCCACTCCTTAGATGGTGATTTTTCTAGCCCAATGTCCTATGGACTGAAACATATACAGTTTAGCACTTGGTTTAAACCTAGTTTTGAGACAAAGTGCAATGAAAAATTAGAATGGTGATGGAGTGGATTTTCGATCTCCAAGGGCAAGCATCTGGTATGAAACTTTAGCTTGATGAATGGATGGATTTATTATATATGTTCAAACCCCATTAAAAGTTTTTGAATCCATTTTTTGGTTTTATCCCTGGTCTTTTTAAAATTCCAATTGTCGACCTCTTCTTATCTTTTTATTCTTTATGGTGATCATAAAAAGAGTAATGGATGCTTTACATGTTTTGTTATATCTATCTACTCGCATAACCCAGGAAGCATCTTCAGAGGAACGTAAAATTCAAGTTTGCATGAATGTGTAATATTTACTTTGTGATGGAAACAAAAAAATCAAACTTCATTACATGCAGAGATTAAAATATTCAGGATTTCTATTTACATCGTTTTTATAAATAGAATCAATTTTATCTTAAGAATCACCAATACGGGCACGAGAATGCGAAAAAATTAAAAAATATACGACATGGGTACAATGAGAATATAACCATTAAAATAATATAATATAATTTTTAAATAATAATAGAGTTGTAATATATTAAAAATAAAGTATATATTATAACAATATGAATAATAAGATCTAGTAAATATTATTTTTTTGATAAAAATTAAAATATATCAAATTACATATTCACTATTTTCATCGAACATTATTGAATCTATTAACATTCATAGTATATAAATTACGTAACAAAAAATATGTCAAAAGAACACGTGTCGAGCATTATCATACCACCCCTGCGGGAAGTATCTGACTTCCTAGGTCTTGCCGATGTTGGCCGTAGGTCGTGATGTGCTTTTGAGTTGGCTGTCTCCTGTGAAGACCTGTGTATCTCTAGACAATCAATTTTATCCGATTGAGACTTTTGAAATAGCATTTACACAATTGAATTGACATGCATAAATAAAAACTCACAGTAGCAACGAAAACTTCGGTAATTACTGATTTTTGATTCCGTTAAATAATTGAAAGCAGGTATTGTAATGTAGTAGAGAAATCTGCTGCTTCGACTACTATAATAAGGTACACCATTTCATCTTTTTTCGTAAGTGATTTGATGAAAAATCTTACGATCAATCCTTCAAATTCAAACAAGTCGGTTATCCTTGAAAAAGGTAGTTAAGGTTGTCGTTGAAAAATTAGAAGTCAAACAAGAAGAGCAATGCTATAAAATCAAATGAAACTCAAAAATTTTTAACTCAAATGCATATTATCCCTTGGATGAATAGATTACATTAATTTGTTCAGTGAGGTTCATTCATCCCATATTTATCTAAGGGATGATATACATTTGAATTTTAACTTTTAAATTTTATTTGAATTATGTAACATTTTTCAAACCATAGATATGTAGATTTGCCTATCCAACACTTTTGGGCCTATTAACCTTGGAGGTAGTTTGGTTTATATATAGATATATCTTTTTCATTTGCCACTTGGCAAAGTCATGACTTTTCAAATAAAATGCGTTTGGACTTTTTGTAAAAATGTATTTGTTGAAGTATAAATATTTAAATTACACTGTTTTTAATAGTTTAAGTTTTTAGAGTACATCGT